CCCGCAACATTTTTTGCTCGCGCAACATGTTCTGCATAGCCAGATTATGCTGATTGTTCAATTGTTGAACATAGGAAACCAAATCAGCAGGTGCTTGTGGTGTTTCCCCTGCATTTGGCATGGCAGGTGGTGAGACGGTTTCTCCCACCGGTGCTGAAGATGCTTGAGGCTGTGAGCCTGCCATGTGGATCCTTCCGATGATTCGGCCGGACCTCAGTCGTATGAAATTTTCTGTTGACGTAGGATCAGCAATCTTGCCTTACTCCCACTGTGGTCGCCAAATTGTTGATGCAAATTTTCAACAACAAAAAGTAAAATTCGAAAATAGGAAATTATCTTCGAATTTGATATAATTAGTGCCTGAGATTAGGAATCTCTAAACACTGTAGGATACATAAATAAAATAGGAAAATAAAACTACATACTGAAAAATAAAGTGGTGATCCCCAAAGGCAATTCTTTTGAATTTGATGTCGATTGAAGATGGTTTTTTAGGTCACGAACAGACCTATTTAAAACCCATGTCAACCACCACTACCAAGTCGTGCCTTCATATCCGCTCATCGGTTAAAACTTCCTGAAACTTCCTTCAACTGCCCAAAAATTGCTTTTTCGCCCGACTTGCACATATGCTGCTTCATCTCCTCTTGTCCGTCTTTCGCCTGTTTGGCCTCCTGCCTTGCCTGATTTCGCTTCGCCCGACCTATATATAATACCCGAACTTATCACATCCGACCTCTGTACCCGACCTTATCACATCCGACCTCAGTTCCTGTCCTTATCACGCCCGATCTCCAAGCCCAACCTGATCATGTCCGATCTCAGTACCCGAACTTATCCCGTCTTACTATCTTGCTGCGGAGAATTTTTGTTTCTTCTGGAGCAAATGATCCGAAGATTATCTCAGGAATCTCGTCCTCGGCATCTTCTATCTCAGGATCAATGTTGATCCGTCTGCAGAACTGACACCGAAAGCACTTGGCCTTCTTGATAGGCTTTCCGATCTGCCAGTACTCCTGTTGGTCGCTCAAGCTTTTCCTTTTGGGTGACAACTCCTTATTCTTCCCTTTATCTACCCGCTTTCCATGCCGAGCCGCATACCTGCGCTTAGCATTATGGATTTGCGTACGATTCATACTTGGAAATCGGGGATCTATGTCTATTGGCAGAGGCTTTCTGTTTCGGCTCCATTTGTCATGGACTGGTTGTGGTTTGCGCGTTGGTCGGTCTCATACCACAGCTTTATCCTTCAATTCCATTTCGAAGGATCCATCTTCTTTATCCCATTTCTCTGCCACTCTAGTTTCGCAAACTTTGAACTTGTCTTCCTGATTGTGTTCCTGGTCTTTGGGCTTACGCTCCTTTCGCTCCTTCCCGACCTATATATAATACCCGACCTTATCACATCCGACCTCCGTACCCAACCTTATCACATCCGACCTCAGTTCCTGTCCTTATCACGCCTGATCTCCGAGCCCAACCTGATCACGTCCGATCTCAGTACCCGACCTTATCCCGTCTTATCTCGGTGCCCGACCTTATCACGTCTGACCTCCGTGCACGACCTAATCACATGCGACTTCAGTGCCCGACCTTATCACGCCTGACCTCCAAGCCCAACCTGATCACGTCCAGCCTCAATGCCCGACCTTATCACGCCCGACCTCCGAGTCCGACCTTATCACGCCCGACTTCCGAGTCCGACCTGATCACGTCCGACCTCAGTGCTCGACCTTAAAACGCCCGATCTCTACACCCGACTTGATCACGTCCGACCTCAGTGCCCGACCTTATCACGCCCGACCTCCAAGCCCGACCTGATCACGTCCGACCTCAGTGCCCAACCTTATCACGCCCGACCTCCTAGCCCGACCTGATCACGTCCGACCTCACCGCCCAACCTTATCACGCCCGATCTCTGCACCCGACCTGATCATACCTGAGTTCCGTGCCCGACCTTATCATGCCTGATGCCCGACCTTATCACACCCGATCTCTGCACCCGACCTTATCATGTTTGAGATCCGTGCCCGACCTTATCATGTCTGAGCTCCGTGCCCGACCTTATCACACCCGATCTCTGCACCCGACTTTATCATGCCTGAGCTCCGTGTCCGACCTTATCACGCCCGATCTCTGCACCCGACCTATGCCTTCTTCCGAGGAAGCCTTTCCCGTAACAGCGTTCGGACTTATATTCGGACTCTTTTTCAAACTTCTACTACCATTAACAAGTCCATTAAACTCTACATCAGTCCTTAGCCTGATTTGATAGGCCTATTCTCGGAAACCCTACTCATCATTTTTTTTTCCACTCAACAATTTCATATGAATATTTGTAGATTTGTATTGTGTTTTAAACATTACTTTTACACTATATAGTTAGATGGTGTGATAGTGTGACATGTATTATTAAATCATTTTTTATATGTTATTAAATACAACTATTTATTATTGAAATTGATAATATATGAATACAACTATTTTGGATTATTTTTTGATTAAGACCATTAAATAATTTCATAGATTTATATATTGTTCATGTATCATTAATTTTTATAAATTTATATTATCATTTTCATCTTTGTTCACCTTGTATTTCAGAAATCAAATCAAATTAACTAATATCGTTAGAATTTATTTTGGGCAGCATTTGATTTCAAACAAAACAATTACTTCATTAATAATCATGAATGATATATGCCTACTATTCATATGTATATATATCAATAAAAATTAATGACTAATAAATTACAGAGATGAGTTTTAATAATTTATCATATTTATATATTAAATGATTGATAATTATTAAATTCACAAATATATATATATTTCTTAAATAACTCTATTGAATATATTTTGATGATTTTTTTAAATGAGTTTTAATTTAAATAGATTTTTTTAGAAAAAAAAATAATATTTATTTTAATTTCAAACAAAAAATAATACTAATTTTAACACTATACACATTTAAGTACTGTATATATAATTTATTTAATATTTATATAACGACAAATTCGTACCATAGATATCGGCTAGTATATATATATATATATATCTAATCATGAATTAAACTATGATTACTTTATACATTAGGTTCAATTTATAGATTTAATTCAACCCATTTCCGTTTATTATTTTTAAAATTAATAAATTTAATACTATCCCCAGTTATTAAATAAATATTTGTTTATTTTTTACATAGAGTTTTTATATATATTACTATTATATTAATATTAATATTAATATGTAGTAAAAATAAAATAAAAAATTATTAAAATAATCTTATTAGATATGTAAATAATTATAATATTTTAATATTAAAGTAAAGTATATAAAAAAATAAAAATGAAAATATTATGAAAAATTTATCAAAATAGTTTAATATTATATTTCTTCGGTCCAACTAATAGGTATACATTTATTTTTGCGAGTTTAAAAATACTAGTATTTTAATAGTAATTGAGATTTAAAAGTAGTATAAAGATAATTTTGGTATTGTTTTTAGGTGTAAAAGTAATAATGTGATAATAAAATAAGACTATTTGTGAAAAAAAAAAGAGATATTTAATAATATTATTACTTTGTAATTGGATAACCCATAATATAAATATATATAATCTCTGATTGTGCGGAGGAATACTAAAAATTAATTTTATATTCAAAATATCATAAGGAGTATTTTATTCTAAATAAACAATAAAAATAAAATTTTGAAAATAAAACAAATAAATATGATTTTGACACTTAAGTTACTTATTTATATAATTTAATTAGGAATTTAAAGAAATAAATAAAAGAATTATTGTCAAATTATTATTTTTTTAAAAAAAATGTGTTATTTTTGTTAAAAAGATAATATTTTCTTATAAATATAAATTTGAATAGACATTATTAATATTATATGACGATCCAAATAATATGTAATTAAATTATAATTTTTTTAAAAATATAAATTAAAATAGCAGTTATAAATGAATGAAATTTGACTTTTTTTATTTTTACAATTTAATTTTTTTAAGTAATAAGATTTTCAACTAAATTACAATTTAAAAATAAATTAAAATAACAATTACATATTAAATAAATTTGATGTTATAATATGAGTATATATCACTAACATTATATATATATATTATTTTTGTAATATCAAATATTTGATTGATTAATTTTATAAATTTTCAATATTTAAAGCATTAAAAAATAATAGTGTAAAAATATTTTGATTTATTTTAATGATTTTTATATTAAAAGCTATATATTTGATAATAATAATAATTAATTTTAATAATTTAATAAAATTTATAATCACACCAGCACTGCTACCCTAATGTTTATATATATTTAAATTTTTTTTGATCTATATGGTAAAACCACATCAGCAAAATTAGTTCTTAACCATGCATTGTAGGTGTTCTAATCATTTTCCCAGGGGACACCATCTCTCATTGCATAGATGTTTATTTATTAGTTGGATTAGTTTACTTTCTTATAGTTTAAGATATATTGTATTATATAGTTAATTAGTGTAATTAATTTAGATAATAAAATATTATTTTGAATATTTTTTATTTAATAAAATATTAAAATTAAAGTTCAAATATTACTATCAAGAAATTTTTTAAATAGCCTCCGAAAATTTGTCTTGGAAAATTCTTTAAAAGAGTTCCGGAGGCAAATTAATTTTAGTTTCAAATTTTGTCTCGGAATTACACCCGAAGAAAAAAACTCGTTGCTATTTTTATTGCTTCGGAATTTCCGAAACTATTTTGAAAAGCTTCCGAATTTTCGAAGCATCTGTTGGTTTAATAGTCTCTGAACTTCCGATGCAATTTCCGAGACTATTAAGCCTACGCGCCAGTAATATATTAAATTTTAAATATATTTATATTTCAAATTGCTTCGGAATTACCCAGGCAAATATTCTTTTATTTCTTTAAAAAATATATATAATTATATTATGTACGTTTATCCGCTGCTGTCCGCCGCCAGAGAATGAAATGAAGGAGGCGGCGGAAGCTCCGTCGCCGGCCGCCCCCGCCCCCCCGGAGAAGAGGAGGGCTGCCGCAGAAGGAATTCCACCGTCCTTCCGCGACCATTGCCGTAAAAGTAAACAAAGGAGCTCCGCTTTCCCCGCCACCGGAGAAGACGAAGAAGAAAGAAGAGAAGGAAGCTCGGCCCTCCTTCGCCGCCGCCGCCGCCGCCGTCGGAGAAGAAAACGAAGGACGAGGAGGCTCCGCCGCCGTCCCCCGCCGCTGCTGATGACGCCGTAGAAGGATACTACGCCGGCCCGCCGCCGTCGCCGACGAAGAAGGACGCCCGCCGGTCCGCCGCTGCCGACAAAGAAGAAGAAGAAAGAAGAGGCGATGTCGTCACCGTTCTCGCCGGCAAAAGTACCCGAGGTGCTGCCGGTGCCCTCGCCGCCGCCTCCGCAGCGTCTCTGCCGCTGTCGTGGCTGTTGATGAAGAAGGGGGAGAATGGAAAGATTATGGTGAAAGAAGAAGGTGGAGGAATTAAGGGAAGGGAAGAAAGAGAGGAAAAATAATTAAGGAAATAGTATGAGGAGGAGGAGTTGAAGAAGAAGGAAAGGAAGAAGGAACTTTTTGGGGGAAATAAATATTTTGATTTTGGGAGGAAAGGATTTAGGGTTTAGGGGGAAGGAGGCGGCGCACGGTAAGTCGGTAATGATGTTTATAGGGTTGGTTTTGTTTAATTTTTTTTAAGAAAAATATTTAATAGATTCGAAAATTTCGAGACCATCTTATATAATTAAATATATATTTAATATGGTTTTGGAATTTCGAAAATTTTTTAATATAATAATATATATTTAATTTGGTTTCAAAAATTCTGAGACAATTTTATATAATAAAATATATATTTAATTTGGTTTCGAAAATTCTGAAACAATTGTATATAATAAATATATATTTTTAATTTCGTCTTAAAATTTTCGAGACAATTTTATTAATAAAAAATATATATTTAATATCGTTTAACATAATCAAATATATATTAAATTTGGCTTCGGAATTTCCGATGTAATTTTATATAATAAAATATATATTTAATATCGTTTAATATAATCAAATATATATTTAATTTCGCCTCGGAATTTTCAAGACAATTTTATATATTAAAATATATATTTAATTTGGCTTAAAAAATCGGAGACTATGTAATATAATAAAATATATATTTAATATGATCTCGGAATTTTCAAGAGCATTTTATATATTATAATAATTTGACCTCGAAAATTTCGAGTCCATTTAATATAATAAAAATATATATTTATAATAAATTCTAAAATTCTGAGATCATATGATATAATATAATATACATTTAATTTGATCTCGGATGGCCTTGAAATTTCCGAGACTATTTAATATAATAAAATATATATTTAAAATAAATTCTAAAATTCTGAGATCATATGATATAATATAATATACATTTAATTTGATCTCGGATGGCCTTGAAATTTCCGAGACTATTTAATATAATAAAATATATTTTTACTTTAGCCTCAGAAAGTTTGAGACTGTATTATATAATAAAATATATATTTAATTTGGCCTAAAAAATTTCGAGACTATTAAATATAGCAAAATGTATTTTTAATTTGGCAACGGAATTTCTGAGACCATGTTATATAATAAAATATATATTTAATTTGGTCTCAGAAATTCTGAGACCATTTAATATAATAAAATATATTTTTAATTTGGCTTCGAAAATTCCAAGACTATTTAGGGTATGTGTGTTTGGGGTTTGAATTTTAAGTTGAGATTTGAATAGTAAAAATCACTACAAAAAAATAATATATTTGTAACGGAATTCCGTCCCTAAAGTTCACGTAGCTAACGTAATTTCATTACTAATTCCGTCTCTAATGACATTAGTAACGGAAAAAGTAGATTTAGAAACAAAAAAATTTTGTTACAAAAATGATTTTTTCTTGTAGTGAATTTTGAATTTGAATAATTGTATGATACGATATAAAGATGTGATGTTTTGAATGTAAAATTGATTTTTTAGTATAATATAAAAAATGAGAAATAGGTGTTTGATTTGATATTTTTGGGGGAAAAAAATGGAATGAATAGTGAATTGAAAATCCAATCCCCCGAACAAACACACCCTAAATACAATAAAATATATTTTTAATTTGGCATCGGAATTTCCGAGACCATTTTAACAAATCCGAGGCCAATTAATTTTTTTTGATTTAATATATATTACATATATGTTTTCACAGTCTCGGAATTGATTTCGAGACAATTTTTCGAAACCGATTCTAATTTTTCTAGTAGTTTATATTTTATTTTAACTTTTAAAGATTAAATTTTTCATTTACTGAAATTATTTAAAAACTAATGATGATTGTATATATTGTTAATCAATATGTGCAATTAGATAACTAGAAGAATTGATTGTGATAATTTAAATGTAATTAATACAAAAAAAATTGTAATAATAAATTTTTTATACAAACAGTGAAATTTGGTTGTTGTTGGAAATAGTTCGTGATGACATACTAAATTTTATATCACATCGCATACAATATCAAAACATTTGATTTGATATGTTACCGTATCGATACCGCATAAATATTTTGGTATATCGAATTTACAGATAAAATAATCTAATATCGAATTACAGAACAACATCATATTCGTACAAAAAAAAAATACCGAAAAGCTTCAAATTTTCTGTATGATATGACTTTTTTGGTATGGTAACAATATACAGTATGAACTCGGAAATCAACTATAAAACTTTCAAACCGGGCGATTGGGTGAATGATTCTAAAGGAATGAACTATTAAACCTCTTGAAAAGTTCCAAAAGTTCAATTTTTTGCCCGATTTGTTACAATTTTTTTAAGATTCTGTAAACTCTAAACAAATTGAAGCAAGAGAAATAGGGATACTTATGCGGAGGAGAATAAGTCATCCGCCGGCAGCTCCTTGGGTGGCGCTAGCGGCGTCGATTTCGTTGAGAGAAGAATCGCGACGAGAATGTTCTAGGGCAAGTGAGAGTAATTGGAAGAGGAAATAGGTTTGTTCGTCGTCTCTGCGTCTATCTTCAAGGCATGAATTCACTTTACACTTTGGTACAATTGGATCAAATTGTAAAATTATATTTTACAATTTGGTCCAATGTTGACCGAAGTCAATATAAACATATTTAATTAAAAAAAAAAAAATAGCGTGGCGCTGACGTGGCGTCGACATATCAGCCACGTCAACGCCGGCGGGCCAGAGTGGCAAATCCGGTGCCGGATGACCTTTTTAGCGAAATTTGTTTACTTACGGGATTATTTTCAGACATGATTCACTTAAAGTCCTAAAATGATAATATGGGTCGGATACGGACTAAAAAAATAGTTTACCCTTAAATAAATAATAAAACTAAAGATATTAGTAATTAAATATAATATATTTAAATTTATAATTTTAATAATTAGTTATTAATTATTACTATAATAAAAAAAAATAGGCTAATTTCATGGGACGACTAAAAACGAGAAAATGGACTAATTAGGTGGGAGGGCGGGAGTATTATTATTCCTTTAAACATGTACGAACAAGAATGAAAATAAATGTCAAAATACTACTACCCTTAATCATAATTTATGTCAATTTGATCAGGAATTTTAAAAAAGTAGGTAAAATAGAAAGAAAAAATTATATTGAAGAAAAAGTAGAAAAAAATGATATATATATATATATTTTCTTACTAAAAAGAAAAATATGAATATCTTTGGATGAGATATTTTTTATATTCTTTACAATCTTAAGGTTTTAGCATTTATTTAGTTATGATGAAAATTTTTGTTGTTTTTACGTAATGAAAAATTAACATACAATGAAGGATGATATATTCACACAATATTTTGAGTTGTGATGAAGAATTAAAACCTACTATATCTTACATGATTTTGTACATGCATCATGAGCTGCAGCCCACCTCACTTTTTTTTTTTTTTTTAAATTTATGATGTGAGAATCTACAATCGCTACCCGAAAGTGCACAGTCCACCTCAGTCTTAATTGAATGATCTATAATTCTGGCTTCCTCATCCAGTTTGTATCCAAATTTGAGCAGCTGTCGTTCTTTATTTTTGTGACATATGACTCTTTTTTTAAATGAGCTTATCTAAATATTATAATGCTTTTATTTGTGACTGAACAATAATTTATTGCAGATTTCTGTGCTATTATGAACATTGTATCTATTATGAACGAACACCTATCTCTTTTAATGAAAATGGACACCACTCTTACTTCATGCTGCAATATAATCAAACCCTCCATGGTTACCTAATTATACATATATATATATATATATGCCTACATTTTAATTTAAAGGTGGGCTATTTTATTTATTAATTTGTGTATCAACAAACTTTTAATTTGTTGTGTTTAAAGTGGGGGTGGTTGGAAGTTCATATGTTTTTTCATTAAATCGAGAATGTGTATAAAATGATTGCATAAGTTACGTTTGAGCCAAAGTAAAACCTGCCCTAGTTTTTCTATTTTGTTACTAGTCATAAAAAATTTCCTCTAAAAACACACACCAAATATTTATTTTTATTTTTTTATATATATAAAAAATAAATTTTACTGTCAAAATATTATATTAATATATATTTATATCATATAAGAAAATTTTAAATTTTAAATTTTATTATTAAAAATTTAAATCCAAAAAATATATCCTCAGAAAAAGACACCCTAAATAACTTCAATATCATTGAATAAACAATTATTGATTATTGAATAATAACACTCACACCATAATTGGGGTGTATCATTGTGGTGTTTTTTTTTTTCCGCCTTGATCATATATGTACATTTGAAACATAATAATTATTAGAAATAATTTTCATATGGAAAATACCAATATTGTCTTTTAAAATAAAGATTTAATAGTTTAAAAAAAAACAAAAAAACAAACTCAAGTGAAAACTAACCCTATCTCTTTTGATTACAATCATTACTATTAAAAATATTAAAAAGAAAAACCAATCTTACAATTTCATTTTTATGTTGCATGATTGTTAAAAAATTAGAACTATTTTCCTCAAAAAACTATTTTTCAACAAAACATTTCTCTCAGTTTTGACCCGATTGTTGACCATTGATAGATTAAAGCTTTCATTTGTGACCGTCGATCTTCTCTAACCTAAAATACTCTTTTGAAAACATAGTAATATATTGCATTCACATAGATTTAGACACATGAAGGACCAAGAGCCTCCGTTTAGTACCTAAACTTCTACCAAAGCAAGATTACAATTATATACGTTGTAGTAGACTAATAATTCCTAGACTATTATATACAGACAAACACTACCCTATTGTTACTTAAGCCAGGATCGAAATATGATATTTACACCATAATCGGGCAAAGCACTATAAAATCTAAAGAATCTTTTATATATTCTAAAGAAAAGAAGCTCGGACTTAGTTTACCCAAATATTACAAACAAAACCAACTATAGCACACAACCGAACCCCTAACCACACTAGCCAAG